TAGATTTATTAATCATGTCTTGCACTAGGGGCACAATTTCTCCTGTTATCTGAGAAATTATTTCTGATTTCATTTTTTCCAGATTCCCTTTTGTTGCCAGTTCAGTTGGTCCAGGTGGTTGAATATCAGAGTGTTTCATCTCATTTTCCTTTGGGGTTGCTGTAGGTGATCTGGAAGTCTGGTTTTGAGAGTTAGTTACATGTTTTCTCATTTCCACTGGGGTGGGTGGCTGTTAGCACCTGGACAGATTACCTCCTCTGAGTTGGGAGAGGTAGGACAGGGGCCGGGAGCAGTGGTAGGGATGGTGACCCAAAAGCCCTTTCCTGTGGCCTGGGGGCAGCAGGAGGGGTGGTGGCTGGGAAGCCCCTTCTTCTGGACCAGGAGCAGTGGGATGCCAGCTCATTAGCCCCTACCTCTGGGCTGGGAGCAGTGGGAGGGATGGTGACCAGGAAGCGCCTTCCTCTGGACCAGGAGCAGTGGGACTCAGTACCTTCTTCTGGTGGTCTGTGTCCTCTGCATCTTTGTAGTGTGGAACCAGGTGGCTGTCTGTCTGCAGAGGGTTGATTCAGCATCTTCTGCATGACTTGGGACCTTGGCAGGGCATGCACAGACAGCTGGTTTTTCTCTGAGTGGGAGGTGATTTTTGTTTTCTTCTTTATGCTTTTTGAATTTTCCAAGTTTTCTGATCCGCTTGATGCCTTTGCAGTTCTTGGAGATGCCTACACAGATTATGTCACCACCAGGTGTTACCGAGCTCCTGAGCCTCTCATGGGAGAAACACAGTATGGTTCTTTGGTCGACATCTGGGATGCTGGCTGTCTACTGGTCCATTTTTTAAAAAGTGTTCAGTAATGTAAGTTTTTCCTTGTATATCTGTTAATTTTGAAGCTTTTTTCATACCCAAAGAAGACTACATTATGTTTTGTATGTTCTTGGGGTGAGTCCTCTACTATACTTTGTTTTACTAATGAATTTTGATTTGAAAGGAAACAATGATTGGAATTTTAAGGTAATGTTTATGTTTCCCTTGTTTGATGCATTATAAACCCTGCTTTAACACTATGTAAGGAATTTCCATCTGTGTACAGGCCAACAAAATAATGGAATAAGAAGATGAGAGGGAAAAGTTTCAGAAACTTAATAGATTGAATATTAAGGTAGTTGTAGAAGCAAAATAAGTAATGTGTTCTTTTAAGATTTGCTTTTCCCATAACTCCTTGTTTAAGGTGACAGTTATCTGACTCTTTAACCTGTAACTTCATTAACCTAACAAAGTTACAATGCCAGGGTGAATTTACAATGTATATGTGCCTGTCTTGTGTCTGTGACTTGTAAATAGGAACTGGAATTGTATTTACAAATCAAAGACCACTAGGGATGAGATAATGGCTAAAAAGGATATAAAAAGGGAAAGCTGAACAAAGGGGGTGCGGATACTGATCCGACCTGTTTCTGGAGTTCCAGCCCACTCGCGAGAAGAAATTTTATTATTTTATCTGAATTCCGTGTCTCCGTGTATTTCTTTCCTAGATTTCTGCAACAAAGAGTCATTTCCCCATTTACTAACTTGATTTAACAAAAGGCTCCAGGTAATATTGGACTTTCTTTTAATCTTGAATAAGTACTACATTGCTTTCACGTCTTTGTGGAGAAAACTAGGAAACTGAGAACATTGATAGAAAACTAGAGAAAGATTTTTTGGGAATAAGCATCAATTGCTCAATTTCTTCTTTCATTCTGCCACCCTAACTTCTATCATGTTCCCTCCCCTGCTTTTCATCAGGAAGATGAGTTACTGTGAGATCATACTGTGATTGCTTTCTGTTCAAAAAGCAGGACGTAGTTGCCTCTGCTCTGTAGATTTTTTTTTCCATTATGATTTTTTAATTCTAGGAAATGGCTAATATACCATATTTACCACCACTATCATGCCAATGACAGATGTTGTCAGAAACATATGTACTCTGTCTACAGTTTTAAAAAAATTAAAGGACAAGCCTGCAGGATTTAATGATATTGAATTTGACTTACATTAGAGTTTGTGTTGCTGCAATAATCTCACAACTATAAACAGCAAACAATTTTTCTATCTAATGATCTAATGAATTTGCATCAAAATTTATTGAACTTTGGGCTGAGGATTTAGCTCAGTGGTTCTGCTGCCTGCTTTGCAAGTGCAAGGGTTCGAATTTGATCCCTGGTATAAAAAAACAATTATTGAACTTAAATGTTTTTGGAAAAATTATTCCACATCTCTTAACCAATTTTCATATTTTTTAAAGTATACAGAAATCACAGCCCTTCATAGAGAGGCTGATGGGATTACATCAAATGAGGCATAGAAAGGAAGTTAGCACTCTGTCTGGTACTTACTAAGATTTCAACAAATTTTAAGTATACATGTTCTTACACATTACTTCTTTTGTTCCTTAAGGCTATAACAAAATTTGAAATGGACACTGCCTGTTCCTTGATATCTCTCCTCCCCAATTAATGTGTGTGTGCAATAGTTCACTCAGCAATCAGATCGTCTAATTCACATGCATCTGCTGTAAACTTGAAGTTAGCCACCCACTGTAAGTATACTCTCAAGTTAGCTCAAATTCACTGAATCTATTCAACTACTTTCTTATGATTTATTTATTATTTCTGGTTACCAAATTTCCAAAATTGAAGTGCAAAATATTAGTATATGTGCTGCTGAAGTGAGCACAAAGTACAAAATATTAGTGTCTGATTTGGAATTCTACAAATATATCTCTTGCTCTATCTTAAATGTATTCAAAATCCCCACTACATAAGAATGCCTTCCCAAGCTGTTTGCAACATAAAATAATTTTTCAATGTTGATTCTCAATTGACAATAATACTTAAGCTAAAACTAAAACAGCCACCGTGCTAAAATTCAGTTGATTTGTCTGTTCATGAGCATAACTAATAAGTTAATTCCCTATTTACCGCTCTTCTTAAAGCATATTAAAGAAATAAATCTGTTATTTTTAACTTTATCAAAGGAGAAAATTAAATGAGTACTGAACCTGAAGGCCTACAATAAATTTCATGACTAAAATGGCTCTATTGTCTAAAACTCAAAGGTTGCCTTCAGTCTTTCATAACCTCAATGCTGAATTGCTAAAGTTGCTACAGCCTGAAGGCTTACATAATTTTTAAATAGAAAAAGTTCTAGAAATTTTCTAACTGCACTTCATTTTCTTATGGAAATTATATGTACTTACTAAAGAAAATATTGAAAAACAAAGTAATATCATTGAAGGACCTATCATTGAAGGAATCACAAGCTTTATGTGAATTGACTGAAAATAATCTTAGTAAGAATTTAGCACAACTTTTACTACTGACAAATTAAAAATAGAAAAATAATTCAATTTGTAATAAATAGAAGCCCATAAAATATGTAATCATAAAAATGTACATATATAGGACCTTCATGAAAAAAATAATTACATGTAGTAAAAGATATAGAGAAATAACTTACCAGATAGTGATTATTTCCACTCACTCTCTTGTATTTTTATTCTGGCATTGATTGACAATTTAAAATAATTATGACAGCCACACATTTCATTTTAATTTCAATAAGTTTGTCAAGTACTTCATATTTTAAATGTGATAGAATTTTTTGTGTGACAAACTAATAGTGTTGTCATATATTCTAACATTCAGAAAAAATTTTAGTGGTGTTTTGGCTGGTTTGGTTTCATTTCAGGAATAGTGTAGCAAATTATATTATCTTCCCTAGGTATAGTCTCTATTCCTTGTTAGAGGATGCACCTTGGTTCAGTGCCCTCCTGTATCAGCACCTTATGTGGTAGTAGTATATGCCTCTTTGTTTATGATGTACATAATAAATGGCATCTGAGAAAGGATGGTATGAGCAAAAGTTTTAAGAAGCATTGCTTTCCTGTAAGCTCTGTTTTTTCCCTTTATTAAGAAAATGGTATGTTCCAAATAAGGCTGTTTTTTCAGCCTTTGCTTTGAAAAAGAAACAAATGAAGCAGATACAAGCAAATTTTTTCTTAATTTCTAGAATTTTATTTCTCTTTGCAAAGAGGGAAAATGCAATAAAATAAAACAACAGAAGAAAGAAAGAAAAGAAAGAAAGAAAGGGAAAGAAGACTACCATGGGGCAATGGGAGGACAGGGAAGTGGACAAGTAGAAGGGGGAGAGGACTCCCCAAAACAGCATCAGGAGCCAGTGACCTAAGAAACTAACATCTCTTCCTCATCATGGCAGGGAGGCCCCTTCCTCTCAGGGCTGCTGCCCTATCCTACCTTGTACTCCTCCAGTGGACAGTGAGCAGTCTTCTCAGGCTGAGGAAAAAAGGAACTTTGCTGGGGAGATTGGTTTAGGGTCAGACCACGCACAAAGAGTGGCTGTCTATGTCGCCCACTGTCTCCTCCAGGGAGGTATTTGGTGGGATTGGAGGGTGGACACCAGAGGTCAGCAGTGGGCCCTCTTCCAGCATCAGGTAGAAGAGAGAACAGTCAGAGCCTCCTGGGAGAAGGACTTGACATCCACATCCTGGTCCCGGGTCAGCTTCTCGAGGATGGGCTTGACTTTGCTCTGCAGAGTGCCGTTATCCAGGATGGGTCCTATCTTCTGTAGGCACTTGGCCATATTGAAGCAGATGTTGGCAACTGGGTCCCCAGCCGTATTCAGGACTGTGGGCAGTACATGTTTAGTGGTAATGTTCTGCCCACAGACTCTAGATAGCACATTGATGCAGAACAGTGTCATCATGCAGTACAGGTAGTTAGGCTCTCCAGACGTGGCCAAGACTTTGGGGATGATAATAGCATGAACCCACTCTTTCTCAAACTTCTCCACCAACTTCTTCAGGTTCCTAGTGGCTGCTTCATGAATGGCATACACATGATCCATGAGACATGCCATGCACAACAAGTTGAGTTTCTCATCAAAGAATTCCACTCCCAGCTGTCCAGCCAGCAGGGGAATGTACTCAATGATGGCCAACCACACCTGCCACTTGGCATCTATAGCCAGTTCCACAATGGCTGGGAGCAGGGACTGAGAGAACTGTTGAGTGCCAATCACTTGGTTCATACAGTCCAGATTGGAGATGATACTGAGTCACACCTCAGGCCACTCATCCTTCAGCTGAGCTAGGAGAAGGGGCAACAGGTGCTCGATGGTGTTGTCTTTGCCCAAGACAGGTGACAGGCCCATGATGAGTGAGATCAGGGCTGACTTCACATGATGGTTGGTGTCTGATGCCAGTTCTTTAAGGCAGGGCAAGATCCAGGTCATGATCACATTCTCCCTACAGTCAGCTGAAAGATTTTCTCAGAACTCTTTGATCTTTTGGGAAGCTGCAGCCCTCACCTCAGCCTCACAGTCGTTCATCAGGTTCTGGAAGACAGGGACAAGGTCTGTCTTGGTGATCTCAGGCCCCACTGCCTTTTGGAGGTCTGTAAATTTCTCAGTCACAATGTAGCGGATGCGCCAGGACTTGTCCTTGGCAGCCTGAGTCAATGTGGGCATCACCATGGTCTCCACATCCTCCTGCAACAGGAGCTGGGTGATATGCACGCAAGCCTTAACAGCCAGCAGGTGCACGGAGTCCTGCTCATCGGAGGCCAGGCTGTAGAACACCAGGATGAGCTCCTGCTTGACGTCATGCAGCTCCAGCACCTGGGCGAACTCTCCCAGCTTGGAGGCGGTGGCCAGCTGCACCATGGGGGTGTCATCTGAGCACAGGCTACAGAAGTACTGTCTAAGCTCTGCTTTCACAGCACCGGACACCTGAGGGTAGCAGTCAGAGAAAAGGCCACAGGCTGAGGTGCGGGAGATGAACTAGTTGCCACTTGCCAGCCACTTCAGCAATGGCACCAAGTGGGTCTCCAGGTCCAAGGGTGAGTGGTAGTGGGAGATGGCCCGCAAGCATTCCACCGCCTTGTCCTGCAACACTGTCTCCTCCACCGTGGCCAAGGACTCCAGGGGGATCAGCAGGCAATGAACGTACTCTGGGCCACCCACTAGCATGGTGAAGGTCCCCAGCTGCTCTGCCAGGGCCACAAGGACCTCGTCCTCATCATAGATGGTGTCTGTAAGGAAGGGCAGGAGCTCGCTTCTAGTCCTTTCAGCCCCAAGGGCCAAGGCAATGATGGATAGTTTCTTGATGCTATAGATGTGTAGCAGAACATCCTCGCTGAGGATCTCATCTAAGAGCATGGCAATGAGGTAGAGTGAGTTGTCACTGTTAGCCAGAGACATCTTGACTCCGTCACTTCCCAGCTGGTCACTTTCTTTTTGCGTCACTTCCTGTCTTGAGGCTACCCCTGTACTGAAACAGGGTAGGGAGGGGCAGGGCTGGAAGGAGAGGCAAGGCTGTCTTAGGGTTCCTGACAGCTAGCGAAGAGGACATAGATATATTTTGAGTTGTTTGTTTTAAGCCTTCGAGATATCTGGATAGTCAGCAGTTGAAATTTTCGTCTTGAAATTTATTGTAAACCTGCTATCATCAAAGAAGATGAACCTACATTTAGATCTTAAATAAAAAATAATGGTATTACACTATTTCCTAAATCAAACTGTATTATTTTAAAAGGTTAACTTTTAGTGTTTCATGATAAAACATTCTTATAAGTCAACATTGTGGGCTACAATTTGCTAGTATCATATTTCATTTAGATTCCTCTTAATAATTATGTTCCAAAGAAGTTTGTACATCCATTCTGGCAGTTGTATATCAATTGAAATATGAGAAAGCCATCATTAGACATGACTGTTGCTTTCAGTAAATTTATGAATTTTTCTTAGCCTGTTAACAATTATTAAGTTTACTTTGAAAACCCTTCTAGATGATCATTTCTAATTTTTAGAAATAGTGTCATTAAATTATAGCCTTTGATTCATCTGATGGTGCTACTTCTCATTGACACTTTGTTATTCAGAATTTTGGCACTTCTGTCTGCTCTTTCCTTGATCAGCTTCTCGTGGTACAAAAACATGTTGATAACCCCTATCTACAATTATTCCCTCTAATTTTTTTTGATTTTTATGGGGGAGGGAGAGGAATATATTTCATTTTTAAAAAATAATTTTACCAAGTTTAAAAGTGGAAATAGATGTGTTCATTTTGCCACATTTACTCAAATTCTTTTGATAAGTTCTGCTCTTTCATTTCCAGGCCCAAATTAAATGGTGAGTGCTCTGCGCTAGATTCGTTCCAGTTACACAGTGGAACAATTACTCCTTCCTATGTGCTCTCCTGGCACTTTTTAAAATCACGGTGATATGTTTTAGCTACATTTGGGCATATTTGCCCTTATTTATAAGTTATGTGTTAGTTTGTAACATCTTATTCCTTATAGAACACTAACTGGTGTGTGGTCATTGCTCAGTCAATTTGGGCTGGATTTAATGAGAATTCAGGAGATTAACATATAAAATACTAATTTTTTCTAAATTATTATGATTGAGTTGGTTCCAGTTGACACTTGGGTATGTAGAACAGGTAAGAAGGCTTTTGCTAAATATTAAGAAGTTTGTTTTTGACCTTTTCATTGAATTTGAATTATAATTTGAGGGCAAGGTTTCGCATGGTGGTTAGGTTTCTGGCTATAGAGTATAAAGCCAGTGACAGCAAACTAAAAAAGGAAGTGATAAATAGTTCTGGCTCTTATCTTAGCAGTGTTTACATACATTTCTGAGAACAAGATTTAAATACTATACAGTCAAGTGGAGGGGAAAACTTGGAGGATGACCATTAGGAAGAAGCCACATTATTAAGGAATGTAATGGGTTTTAATGTGAAATATTTCCTAAAGATTCATGTATGGAGGGTTTGATCCCCAATGCAGCAGGTCCAGAAGTGAGACCTAAAGAACTGATTGGAACATATGGCTTTTAAATTTATCAGTATATTAATTCACTGTTAAGATCACAATGTGACAGTATTATTGAGAGGAGACGGAAAATGGAAGCCTAATTGAAGAGAACAATAGTGAAGAGCCCCTTCTGTGTCTCTCTATCTCCAATGCTATGAAATGAACAGCCTTCCTCTACCATACACTTCTGTCATGTTCCTGTCTTCCCCCAGCCCTATTAGCAATGGACCCAGCCAATCATCAACTGAAACCTATTAAACTGTGAGCCAAACTAAACCTTTCAACCTTAAAGTTTTTTTTTTTTTTTTCATTTATTTTTTCACAGAGATGAAAAGCTGACTAACTCAAGGGAGTTCTTCCAGGGGATTGATATTATGAAGTTGTTTATTGTCAGTATCTTTGTTGATCTATTTAAAACCCTTCCCAGAGGTGTCTACCAGATACAGCTGGTCTTTAGGTTTTGAGTCTACAATGACTTTGAGGCTATCTCATTTTCATTATACCAGGAAGGAAAGCTGTTTAGATCAATCATGACACCTTAGCCCAAATCATACAATCAGCAACACCATAGCATCAAATACCTCTTAAAGAATGACAATTTGTCATAGTTATTAATCTCCAAGTCAGACAATGAGCAACACCATAGCATCAAATACCTCTTAAAGAATGACAATTTGTGGTAGTTATTAATCTATCACCTTTAGCTGTGTGTGACTTAAATCAAGATCGAGGACCAACCCAACATATAGTGAATAAACTCTTCAATATAACAACTTTACCCCTTGGGATGGGGAGTTAGAAGGGGTTGGGGAGGGAGGGATAGATGGGAAGAAGGATAGGGGAAGGTTGGCAGTGTGGCCAGAGGACACAGGTGAGAAGGAAAAAGAGAATAATAGGAAAATAAAGAAGAACTCCAACTGAGGAGCAAAATAGGGACAAAAAGGGAAGATGAACAATGTAGGAGAGCAAGAGACTGAGTGTGAGAGAGAGAAAGGAAAGAAAAGAAAGAAGAAAAGAAAAGCAAAAAAGAGGAGAGAAAAACAAATATTTGCAAAGAGTAGGGAAAAAAATTAAAGAGGAGCAAAAGAAAAGAAAAGAGAAACAAACCAAAATAATAAAACTAATTTTGGGAATAAAAAATAACCATGAAGATGCAGGGCCTCTTTCAAGGTATGTCTGTGCTGTCACAATAGACAATGTGGGTTGCAGTGTACAGATATAGTCAATGAGTCTCAGCAAGCTATTCTCAGACCCATGAGATTCAGGCAGATTTCTGGCTGCAAGTCCCAAGTTGAGCTCCCTGTACTCCCATAGGGTTGAACTCTGCAGAGTTGTATTGCAGGTTCCAGCTGCCCTTCCCCTGAAGATAGTCCCAGTACTGATGGGAGGTGAAGATGACTCCAACTTACCCAGTACAGTGGTCTGGTGGTCCGGTGTCCTCTGTGTCTTTGTAACGTGTAACCAGGTGGCTGTACAGAGGAGCGGGGTGGTGGAGGTGTCCATTGGATTGCTGCCGGTGTGCGGGCTGATTTGGCCCATTCCGCATGATTCGCAACATTGTTACAGTGTCCACAGATCTGCCTGTCTGCAGCAGGCTGATTCAGCCTGTTCTGTGTGACTTGGGACCTAATTTCTTAAGAACTTGGATTGTGAGGGTAAGAAACTTGCAAGCCTTGCTAATAACTAGAGTTTTGATCTAAGTGAATATTCATGATGCATATCAATACTTATTCCTTTTCCAATCTTACTTCCTACTGACACTTCAGATTTCATTTCCCTTAAATATGTCATAGCATTACTGATTCTATGAGATCAAAAATCAAAATGTACGTTCTCCAAAAAATTCTCCTCTTCCTTTTTACATTCATAGTTAACAGCAGTATACTCCTTGTCACATAGGTTCAAATCTTATGGTTATTGATATACACATATGCTGGTTAGACTGGAAATAACATCTACATGCAGATTTATTTCACCACATCCTGCAGAAACCTTGGGCTTTTTCTACTATTTACCACCATAATCCAGATACATAAAATCTAAATAACTTTGCCTGTAGCTTTTTCTCAATTATTAAATCACATGTCTTCTCTTCATGGTTAGCATTTTCCCTGATCTATAGCCCAGCCCATTTCGGGGACTGTTATGAATGCTGTGGAGCACTCATTTCACATGTCGCACTTTTAAGGCCTATCTCTTGCATGTACTTCAATATGAGTCCAAGTGCTGGTTCCGTGTCTTTGATCATGCTCAACAGTGTGTTGTCAAGGAGGGCTTGACAAATTATTCTACTTAAAAATATCTTTGCCTGAGGATAGATATTAATTCTTCACTAAAAACCAAAGTCCTATTAAATACAACTGTGACAAGCAATATAACTATTTTTTCTACTTGTTTCTGGGTCTCTGAGTGAAAAACAGCAAGAAGTGGAATTATACAACTGAAACATCTTTTATAGATGATTTATTCTTCATTTTGAAAATGCAAAACCAAAACCCATAGCAGGCTTTTGATTTTCTCAAAAATACACTACTACTGTAACTGGGTTGAGAAATGGAATTCTTTCTTCAGGCTCTGGAGATATCCTCATTTTTACTGTTCATATCTGTCACTATACTGTACTTCATATCGCTCTTTGCCATCTTAATGGTGCATAATCCAATTATTATTGCTCAAATGGTCATAATTTTCACATACAATGTTTTAGTAAATCCTTGCAACAACTGATCAGTCTTCCCTTAAACTACATTTTGCTCAATCAAAAACTTTAATACAAAAATTAGATTGTTTTTAGGTTATATTTTGAAATGAAATTCCAAAATGATAACATACACTTTAAGGTTTTGGTAAGTATCACCAATTTTCTTTCTAAAATACATTTTCGATATATTTGCAAAATAATTTTTTACTGGAAAGACATTCATAACACATCTCATTCAATATTTTGATCTTTGCTAATTTTATTAGGAAAGAATATAACATTTTAATAAACACAATATAGATTCCTGATAATATAAGTTAAATTTTAAGGCTGTACCGAGCAATATGTAGTCAGTAGTGACATATAACTATTTACATTGAAATTAATCACATTCAAAAATTCATCTCTTCAGTAACACTCAGCACACCCACAGTAACCACATGTGCTCAGTGACTATTGCAGTGGGTAAAGCTGATGGTGAACATTTGCATCATCACAGGAAGTGTTATTGCTAACATAATCATGGGGCACTGTGAGCTCCAATTTAGAGGAAAACCTTGGGGCCTCATTATAGGCTCATTCTCAAACAAGTGTAAATGGAAAAGTCAGGACTTAGTAGCATTTCCTCATTCTCTATAGTGCTACTTGTTATGGTTTGGCTAAAACACTTGAGTGTGTTTTCCAGAGGTTCACAGATGCTTGGTCCGCAGTGTTACAGGGTTCATGGGGTGGCACTTCAAGAGGTGGGACATACTGGGTGGCACTTAGGTTGCTGAGGGACCAGCTCAGAAGGGGCTAGTGTGGTTCCTGCAGGACCCTGTCAGCAGGCACAAGTCGGCTTGGCCCTTGCATCTTTCTGGTATGGGTCTTGCACATGCTCATGCATTATGCTCTCCACATGTTTAGCTGCTTAGGAGGCCTTCACATAAGGTGACATTGACGATTTCTCTACAAAAGTAGACTTTAAGCTTCCAAATCTATGAGCTAAATGAACATTTTGAAATGTTACCCAAACTTCATTGCACCTGAAAATGGACAAATTAACTGAAAGTGGACTAATACACCAAATACATTTCAATGATTTTTCATAGTGGAGATAACAAAGACATCTGAGTGATTTACACCATGTTTTCTGTGTTTTAAGTTGCTTGCTTACATGTAATGAGTGCCTATTGAGTAAATGAACACTTTTTTTGTCATTAATAAACTTTGCATTTTAAGTTAAACTTGCATTGCTACAAACCAAATATACCATCAGCATCAAACATACTATTTTAAGAAAATTTTTTACCTTACATTTCCACCGAGGAGGATTCTTTGTTGACAAATATTTCTTCTTTTTGATAAGGCTATAAACTAGTTCTTGAATTTATGGAAAAGTTATGTTTAAGAAGACAATGAAATGAAGACATCAAATAAGACTGCCTGAGAGGTATTTATTCAAAGTTCACAATAAAATATAGACTGGGGCAACAGAAGAGGTGTGGTATTTAAAGAAACTTGAAGGAGGATAAATTTGAAGCACTTAGAAGAATTTTTGTAGCTTACACTTTTCTTTATTTTTCCTAGTGTTCTTTAGTACATGTATGGTAATAAATTCAGACATACTGAACTTAGGTTGTAGATGCTATATTCTGCTTTACCACAGAGACAAGTTTTTGGTGTAAAGGGTGTTTCAGTTTTCTGCATGTAGTAACATTCTTCATTAATGGAAATATTTAAAAGTATTATACTGGCACGTAAGTGTCATACTTAACTGAAAGAAGAAAAATATGTTACCTTTATTTCATTAATGTTTATATATTTATTAATATGGTCATTTCTTTTTTCTAAGAATTACATTGATCTTAGAGATGTAGACACTTATTAGGTCATAATCTTTTTCTTTTTAAGAAAACAAAACTGTTGATAATTGATATTCATAAAACAAATACGTATTTATATCAGCAGTAAGTATTAGAAATTGGTAGAATAGTGGCAGAATTTGATTCTTTCTCCCTTCCCCCATCTCTCTCCCTTTCTCTCTCTCTCTATTTCTCCATAGGTGTGTATATGTATGTATGTACATCTCCCCTTCTAAGATACATGGAGTATATTATGTTATAACTCTCATAGCAAATACAAACAGGTTTCCTAAAGAACACTGCTTTAAAATGATTTTTAAATAAAAGTTCCAGTTTACAACTCAAAATCCCAATGACTACTTTCACAAGACAGATCATATCTTTTTAATATTTTGCCACATTTTAATTGGTTGTACTTAGAGCTATTTAACAGCTGTGGCCAAAACAAAAATTATCCAAGGAGTAACTCCTAAATGTTGTTATCAACATTAAAATGATACCACTTCATTTTTGCATACCAAAATATTCTTGGCTATTCACTTCTTCACAAATGGAAGTGGAGTTGGTCTTCTTCATTACACTGTAAATTTCCTTTCTTTTATCAGCATGCTCCTTTTTCAGCAGGCTTTGTATTTTAGTACATTAGAAGAGAATGTAGTTAGACACTCAGGAAAAAGTTTCAGTAAATGTTATTGGTAATATCTTCCTCTAGCAAAGACATGATGTACTATAGTGGTGCTTCTATAGCCAGTAATAACTTTTGTTTGAAAAGAAGACTAGACACTTAACAAATTACTCTCCTACTTTTTATACACTGTCTTGAAAATGTCTTTTGGTCTTGCAGGATTGATGCAGATTGGAAACAGGTACGCTTCCATGCTGAAATCCTTCAGAGATTAACAACAGCAACTGCCTGGAAGTGTTCTTGGTTCCTTTTCACCACTCTGCCATCTGGGTAGACATATGAAGATCAGTTCAACAGATTTTAAAAATGATTATTATGAAGGTTATTCATTTTAGCAGATGATTTTTGTTTTGCCACTCCCACATAAATGTAAAACAGAGAATATGTTCAAAGCAGAGACAACTATAGACCCTACATATTTTAAATTTCCTCTCCAGAAGTTAAAACCATTGAAAACTGAGCTTCATAATGTCTACTCACACCACAAAAGGTGAATTTTGAAATGAGTGTATGTGCATTAGCGTGATGTTCAGTTCTCTTTGACCTCCCCAAATAAATTATGTTCTTTGAAGATAAATATAAATATAAGAATGAGCTCTAATTTTGTTGATACTTTAATTCTCCTTCAATGTGTCCTTGAAACTTATAACAAAACAGTGCTATTGTTTAAAGAGATTTAATGCATCAAGTATCAAAATATTTCCAGATTCCAATGGATTTCAAGATTAGGCCAGCATTAATTTTAAAGAATTTTAAGTTCATAGGTTTTTATTAATTTTATTAATATTTCCTTTGTGTACATAAGTAATTCTATATGAAGTACAGACATTTTTAGCCTTTATAATCGTCAAAGAGTGTGGGGTTTATTGCCATATAGATTATATACTTCTTTATAGACAATTAATAACTGAAAAATCATTACAGTCTCTCTTTGAATGTGAGCAGGGTTTTCAAGGTAGAAATGTCTCCTAATAGCTTAGCCTTATCCTCTTATATAAGTTTAATTACATCAGTTAACAGATTTCTTAAATTTGACTTTGATCATACAACAAACAATATGACATTTAAAAAGCATAGCAATATATATATTGAAACTGTTGCATATTTACACATAAATGTTGCATTGTGAGACAGTTTCTGTAGGTTTCTTTAAGTGAATTTTTTCTGGAGGCAGTGGTTCTTAACTAGAAATGATTTTTCCCTTCCTGCATGAGACAGAAATGTCTAGAGAAATACTTGACTCTGACAACTAGGGTGTCAGTTACTAATAAACTCTACTGAGTAGAAGCCAGGGAAACTGCTAGCATCATACAATGAAGCCAGCCTACTTTTACTCCACATATTTCAGCCATTCAGCATGTCAATATCGCCAAAGTTGTAAATCCCTGCTCCAAAGCATAGAATAATATAGACAAAACTCAAAATTTGACAAATAAATTAGGCACAAGTAAATATTTGAAAAGTCAAAAATACTGAGGCAATCTGCTATAATACATACAGACACAATGTACACAGTATAGAAATGGATACCCATTGATATATGCCTTTATATGTAAATACAGATAAATACACAATCTTTTATGGTAACTGATGGCCCATTCTTTATATTTGGTCTTGATTCATCCTTTGGAAAATTTTGTTTTCTTTCCTCAGGTATTAGTCACTCCTTCATCACTAAGACTCAAGACCTCAATACCCAACACTAACAAGCTAAAGGAGGAGAGGTTCATTTTGGCTCATGTTTTTATAGTTTTCAGTTTGTAGTCCATTGGTTCCAGGCTAGAAGTGCTATGGGTAGAGGCTTGGGCAAAGAAAGGCTGCTCGAGCATGGGACCCAGGAACAGTTACAAAGAAGAGATCAAGAAGGAAGATATACCCTCCGGCTTGGTCCTCCAGTGACCCCTTCTTCTGACCAGTCTGAATCTCCACCCATCACATTTAGCTGCAGTACCTGCATGATTCAATCACCTTTCAAAAGCCTGACCTGTGAGCACATGAGGCTTTAGGGGGATGCCTACATATAAACCATAACACATCACTTACTAAAGTACAGGATATCCTGGAGTCCTTCTGCTCAACTAACCAACGCCACTCTTTTAGTTTGGCCTAGCCTTTCTCCTCCTAGTAATCAAGGCAACCTTATAAATACAAGTTGTTCAAAGTGTGAAGATAAAAGTTTTAGAGAAACATTTCTCTATGCACCTATTAGATCTCTAGTTTGTTAGTTTTTAAGTTCTATGATAGATTAGATACTTTTCATCTTCAAGATAAAATATAATCTTTAATCACTTACTGAAATATAATTGTTGCTCTTGCTCACTCAATATATGTTCAATCTGATTATCTAAATTGTAACTAAGAGACTGAGCTGTTGTACTTTTGAGGAGTGAAGAGAATTTTCTCTATTTACCTATGTACTCCAATACCCACCCATCTCTACCAGGAAACAAACAAATCTTCACACTAATCTCTTGCATCTGGAAAGAAGTAAATAGTATGTTCTGAAAGTTGGTGTGCTGGTTAAACACAATTTCCTAATTTATTTTCTGCTTCTGTCTTGAAAATGTTTGAAAACACTTACTGGTAGGTAGCACCCACAGGCATTAAGAGGAAAATATAAAGAGATTCTGCTCCCATTTATATAATGCAAAATAGGTACTGCATATTTTTCACCACACTTACTGCTAGAAAATCCCATGTTATTGTTTATATATAGATGTCCACAAAGAGACTCATATGCTCATCAACATCGGCTTTTGGAAGGCAATTGGGGGCAACATTACTGACTTGCTGTTGGTACATGGGACCATGGGGGTGTGGCCCGGGTGGTGTGTCTCATGCCCAGGCTCCTCCCCTGACTCTCTGCTTTCTGGCCCCCATGCAATGAACAGCTATCCTCTCCCCAGACCCTTCCACTATGCCACTTCTGATGCAATCAGCTGACCATGCAAGGACTGATCTTCTAAAATTTGAGTCAAAATAAACTTCCTCCTTTAAGCTGTGGGTGTCAAGAATTGTCTCTCCACAATCAGTGAAGTGACCAAGATAGATTTTGGTGCCAGAAAAGTGGGGTTGTTGTTGGGCCTATATCTGACCCTGTGGTTCAGAAGCCTGTGGGACTAGTTCACTGGAAGATTTCAGAAAGCTTTGGAGATACTAGTTAGAGAGATAGTCAAAGAATGCTATAAGTCAAGCTTGATGAGAGATTCTGGGTGGAGCTTAGAAGATCAGGAAGTTGACAGAAATGAAGATGACCAGGCTCAGGAGGCTTCAGTTGGAAACAATCACTCTACTCACATTTGGACTTTTGGCCATGTATGTTACACTCTGGCAGAAAATTTGTCTATCTTTTCCCAAGGTACTGAGATTTTTTCCAGGAGATTTACAGTAATAATAATGCACTAATGAATTTGGAGGAGGAAATTTTAAAGCAGCCCAACTTTCAGGCTGTAGCATGGTTAATAATTGCTGCTTTTAATGAGATTGTCTGTGAGAAATAGGGGGAAAAGCTCATTTTAAAAGTTTACAATTTTGGCAGAAAAAAAGTACACACAAAGATGGTGAAAAGGATAGCTTGGTTGCTGAAAAGATTAACATTAAATAGAAGCCCAGTAATATGGATCAGAACAAATGGGAAGAAAGACTTGAAGGCATGTGAAGAACCAGCAAGATCCAACCCTTTGCAGGACAATGAGTGCAAACCTATAAAGTTTCATTTGAAAAGAGAGCCCTGTGACGCTGTGCTCCAGAATGGCCATCTGGGAAATGGTTTATATGGATATGGTTCACACTGCTCAGTCATAGAGGCACTCAAAGTCCACTGCAGCCATGTTGCAAAAGGGCCTGGCTACTGCTAGAACTGTTGGCAGATGCTGGCATTATCCATGTCATGCAGGTTGTAGAGGCAGACAGATTGTGAGAGTTGTAGAGTCAGGAAGCCTTCTACCCAGATTCCAGAAGAAGTCTGGGAAGCCAGGCAGTGTGTCCCTGATGGAGCAGTGCATGAAACTGTGAGAGCCATGATGAAATTGCAGTGGAGACCCTAGAAAGAGGGAAAAGCCAGGCATATAGAACATCTGAAGTAAGCCGAAGGCAATGGGTGAAACCAGTCCAAGAAAGAGACCATTAGGATTGTAATCAATGCTGCAGGGACAGGGCTACCCAAGCCATTTGGAGCTCACGTCTCACCACAACTCACCCTGCATGCAGAACACAGAGCTATAGGATTTAATATCTGCACTCTTGGATTTGGGTCTTGCTTTGGTTTCATTTGTTTCTATTCCCCATTCCTATATTGTGGAATGGGAATGTTTAGCTCGTGCCTGTTGTAAGTCAACAGTATGTAACTTATTTCTGATTTTTCATGGGCCTCTAGATAAGAGCTTGCCTTACATTTCAGAGGAGACTTTGAATTTGGACTTTTCTGTAATTCTAGAAATGTTAAAATTTTGGTCACATGGACTAATTGCATTTTGCATAAAGAGATGCACATGAGTCTTTCAGGGGCCACTGGTGGAATATTAAAGTTCATATCTTGATGAGACTTAAGAGGCTCATGTGCTTATAGGTGGGGCTTTTGGAAGGTGATTTGATTGTGGGCTGGTATAGCTGACATCCTGTGAGGAGGTGGGACCTTGTTGGAAGAGTTAGGTCATTAAAGGCATGGCTTGGGGTTTTATCTTCCTTCCTTGTTCCTTCCCGGGTAGCTGCTTCCATGCCATGAGAATCCTTTCTCTGCTCAGGGCTTCTACTATGGCATTACTGCCTGCAGCAACCTGACCATGCAAAGCCTGAGACTTCTAAGACATAAACCAAAATAAACCTCTCTTCCTTTGAGCTGTATGTGACAGATGTTGTGTCTCAGTGATGTCAAAAGCGACTAGGACATCCCACAAGATATAAGGAACAATTAAAGGGAATATGTAGGTTATATAAGCTAGAGATACTGATAGTTATATAACAGAATGTGTGTGTTTATTATTGAATATATCTAAATGGTGAACTATACATAATGAGTCAGTTCTACCACCAATGAAATCTATTTATAGAACTAAGAATCCATCCATTGTCAATTCATCATCAAGTCATGTTATTTGGTGATCACTCTGAGTGAATTTACCTTCACATTTTTATTTTGTTCATAGTTCATTATCTTTGGTTTGAGACCAACTTTCTATTTATTTTCATAATATTCAGAAAATATTTGCCATGTTAAGAAACTACAATTTATTCCACATAAATATTTTTAAATGGTGAATTATCACAAAAGATTTGCTGTATAAAATAAGAAAACTAGAATTATTTTACCCTTAGAGAAACCAATTAGTGGCATAAATTTTAAAATTATGTGAGGAAAAACTAATGTGAAATGGACCAATATAGACTCCAAATTATATTTTAGTAGTCAGTTATACAAAGGCTAGCTTTGATTTTATCATTTTCCATAGGTTGCCACTACAAGAGAAAGACATTTTATTGATAAAATGAAGAGAAAAGAATTCTTGGAAATCATGCACTTTAAAACAAGCAAATTGAGAAAAGCACTAAGGTAGCAGCTGGTTTGGGGAAAATACT